GATGTGGGGAGAGGGGCGCATAGCAGAACCTGGCCTTGGGACGGCAGGGATAGTAAATCCGGCCCTGCCCCCAATGATTGAGTTCAGGTGTTTCCAGGGAAGGGATCTCTTAATATTACAATATACAAAGACATTGTAGACAATTGTGTTCTTCCAGCCTTGTGGTCATAGTTTGGTGAAGACCATTTTCTGTCCCACAATGACTGTCCCCTGTGTACAAAGCCAGCTCCATAAAGACACGGTGTGACCAGTTTGGGATGGATCTGGTAGGTGTGCGTGATAACGCTGGATTGATGTGAATAGAGGCCAATTAAAATGAATTAAAGTTGAAATGTGTTTTCCTCCCCAGAGTTTAGTTTATGGCAGCTGGTACGGACCCTGTTCTGGGCAATAGCCTGCTGCCCCTCTAATCAAGATAGTCCAATCGCACAACAGATGACCAGGTTCTGGGTGTGTGGCTGGGAGCACCTAGTACCTACCTCCATCTAGCTTGAAATTCATTTGAACTCTTTATTTGTTAGGAACAACTTATACACACAACGTGTTTTAGGGGCCATGACTCCCCCTTCTTCGGGGCTTGGACGATGTGATTGATGAAATAGATCCAGTCAGCTGTTCACATGTCATTAGGACAATGCTAGCTTTGGTTTGGCCTCCAGGCTCTCTGAATCATTCCATCCTAAAGATTTCACCAATCACATGGTCTAAGCCTTAAAGGAGAACTATGAGGGGGGGGAGGAGCTTTTCACTCACCTCATAGTTCTAGCCGACCTGTACAATGAGACTGTCACAGGTCGGCTCAGTAGATCGGGAAGTGAGAGAACACATACCGGCGTTCGCTCACCTCTCGATCCTGTCACGGCTCTCTGCCGTGACAGGGGGAGGGGCTGGATTCCCCTCTCCCCGCTCCGATCTGCCAGCGCTGACTGGCGGAACGGACGGGGGAGGGGGGCGGGTACAGCTGGCTCTGCCTCTAGATATGCAGAGCCAGCTGTCACTCACGCAGCTGGGCGGATCCCGTCATCTACGTCGGGATCCGCTTTAGCTGCGGCGTCTCAGTATACCGCGAGCTGCAGCTCCCTATATACTGAGCCTAGGGTGACGGGAGGACGCTAGCTTGTGTCCTCCCGTTACCCTAAGGAGAATTATGGGGAAAAACACTGACCACAGAGTTCTCCTTTACAGAAGGGGGGTGGGAGGTCCCCAGAAACATGTTGGCTGTATCTGTTGTTCCTAACAAATAAAGATTTTAAACAAATTACAAGTGTAATGAAAGGCGCTGCTAGCAACACATCCAGAAGTTTGGTGGAGGAACCCGAGTGTCCTGCACAGGGCCCTGACCTCAACCCTACTGAACACCATTGGGATGACTTGGAATGCTGATTGTAAGGCCGGGTCTTCTCCGCCAGTGTCCTGTATGTGCAGTAATGCGGTTTACAGTGTATTAGACATACCAGCTCCTTGCTGAACAGGAAGGGGACGCTGTTCTTGCTGTACATGGCCCAGTTGATGAAGTTCTGTACGTGATCCAGCTGACGGTTCAGTACCAGCACCGACTGCAAATGCTGCTCAAACTTCTGCTGCTTCTCGTTGGTGATTTTCTGTGGATGAGAAGAGAATTGTGTGACACGCTGCAGAGGGGGGAGATCAGAATCCACGCTGCTGGTTTCCAGCACATCTCAATGTCAGAGCGAAGGACAGCAGGAGTGACCACACAAGGTGTTTATAAATTGGAGAAGCATTGGGTCGGATTATTTTCCCTTCATTCAAATGATGGTGAAAATCCCCCAATACCAGGAACATCCCCCCAGAATTTATACCAGGAACATACCCCCAGCATTTATAGCCCCCATACCAGGAACATACCCCCCGCATTTATACCCCCCATACCAGGAACATCCCCCCAGAATTTATACCAGGAACATACCCCCAGCATTTATAGCCCCCATACCAGGAACATACCCCCCGCATTTATACCCCCCATACCAGGAACATCCCCCCAGAATTTATACCAGGAACATACCCCCAGCATTTATAGCCCCCATACCAGGAACATACCCCCCGCATTTATACCCCCCATACCAGGAACATCCCCCCAGAATTTATACCAGGAACATACCCCCAGCATTTATAGCCCCCATACCAGGAACATACCCCCCGCATTTATACCCCCCATACCAGGAACATCCCCCCAGAATTTATACCAGGAACATACCCCCAGCATTTATAGCCCCCATACCAGGAACATACCCCCCGCATTTATACCCCCCATACCAGGAACATCCCCCCAGAATTTATACCAGGAACATACCCCCAGCATTTATAGCCCCCATACCAGGAACATACCCCCCGCATTTATACCCCCCATACCAGGAACATCCCCCCAGAATTTATACCAGGAACATACCCCCAGCATTTATAGCCCCCATACCAGGAACATACCCCCCGCATTTATACCCCCCATACCAGGAACATCCCCCCAGAATTTATACCAGGAACATACCCCCAGCATTTATAGCCCCCATACCAGGAACATACCCCCCGCATTTATACCCCCCATACCAGGAACATCCCCCCAGAATTTATACCAGGAACATACCCCCAGCATTTATAGCCCCCATACCAGGAACATACCCCCCGCATTTATACCCCCCATACCAGGAACATCCCCCCAGAATTTATACCAGGAACATACCCCCAGCATTTATAGCCCCCATACCAGGAACATACCCCCCGCATTTATACCCCCCATACCAGGAACATCCCCCCAGAATTTATACCAGGAACATACCCCCAGCATTTATAGCCCCCATACCAGGAACATACCCCCCGCATTTATACCCCCCATACCAGGAACATCCCCCCAGAATTTATACCAGGAACATACCCCCAGCATTTATAGCCCCCATACCAGGAACATACCCCCCGCATTTATACCCCCCATACCAGGAACATCCCCCCAGAATTTATACCAGGAACATACCCCCAGCATTTATAGCCCCCATACCAGGAACATACCCCCCGCATTTATACCCCCCATACCAGGAACATCCCCCCAGAATTTATACCAGGAACATACCCCCAGCATTTATAGCCCCCATACCAGGAACATACCCCCCGCATTTATACCCCCCATACCAGGAACATCCCCCCAGAATTTATACCAGGAACATACCCCCAGCATTTATAGCCCCCATACCAGGAACATACCCCCCGCATTTATACCCCCCATACCAGGAACATCCCCCCAGAATTTATACCAGGAACATACCCCCAGCATTTATAGCCCCCATACCAGGAACATACCCCCCGCATTTATACCCCCCATACCAGGAACATCCCCCCAGAATTTATACCAGGAACATACCCCCAGCATTTATAGCCCCCATACCAGGAACATACCCCCCGCATTTATACCCCCCATACCAGGAACATCCCCCCAGAATTTATACCAGGAACATACCCCCAGCATTTATAGCCCCCATACCAGGAACATACCCCCCGCATTTATACCCCCCATACCAGGAACATCCCCCCAGAATTTATACCAGGAACATACCCCCAGCATTTATAGCCCCCATACCAGGAACATACCCCCCGCATTTATACCCCCCATACCAGGAACATCCCCCCAGAATTTATACCAGGAACATACCCCCAGCATTTATAGCCCCCATACCAGGAACATACCCCCCGCATTTATACCCCCCATACCAGGAACATCCCCCCAGAATTTATACCAGGAACATACCCCCAGCATTTATAGCCCCCATACCAGGAACATACCCCCCGCATTTATACCCCCCATACCAGGAACATCCCCCCAGAATTTATACCAGGAACATACCCCCAGCATTTATAGCCCCCATACCAGGAACATACCCCCCGCATTTATACCCCCCATACCAGGAACATCCCCCCAGAATTTATACCAGGAACATACCCCCAGCATTTATAGCCCCCATACCAGGAACATACCCCCCGCATTTATACCCCCCATACCAGGAACATCCCCCCAGAATTTATACCAGGAACATACCCCCAGCATTTATAGCCCCCATACCAGGAACATACCCCCCGCATTTATACCCCCCATACCAGGAACATCCCCCAACATTTATACCCCCAATACCAGGAACATACCCCAGGATTTATACCACCATCATACCAGGAACATACCACAGCATTTATACCCCACCCACACCAGTAAAACAGGCCAAAATGTATACCTCCACCATACCAGTAACATACCTCCAGCATTTATACCTCCACAATACCAGTAACATACCTCCAGCATTTATACCCCCCACCATACCAGGAAGATACCCCAGCATTTATACCCCACCATATCAGGAACATACACCAGCATTTATACCTCCACCTATACCACTAACATACCCCAGTATACCAGAAATATGCCCCACGTCGTATCCTATTCTTGTCTCCCCCAACCCCACCTGTGATGGACCTCCTCACCTCCAGCTGCTCCAGCAGTGAGTTCATCCTCTTGCTCAGCTCATTAATAATCACCATCTTGGTCATTTTGATCTGGTTCTCCACCTTCCGGTGCATGTGTTTCATTTCATACAGCCTGAGAAACACAAGAAGAGAACTGTCAGAATCTACAGAACCATTCCTCACCATTTCTCCATTCAGCTGAAGGTTTCAGACCTGTCATCAGTTACAACTTTTAATGTTAGGTGTAGAGATGTTCAGATACCAAGTACAGCACTCAGTACAAGTACAGATACTTTTCCAGCTCCAAGACCAGACTAGAGAAACATTCAGAAGTTAGGAGGCGGCTGTCATGTGTAAGGAGCACACGGAGCTCCCGGGATTTGTACATCTCTGTTATAATGTATGATTTTGTTTTTATAAATATAAATATTAGTGATGCACCAATACCAGTTTTGCGAGTACGAGTACTGATACATTTTTGTTTATTACCATGTGACAGTTTTTCTAAAACAATACAGACTGATGATTTCAGGACAGTGGTGGAGCGCCAGAGCCCGGTCCCAGCTGCAACCGCTGCCACCCTGGGAGTTCTAATGAAAATGCCAAGTATCGGCACGGGTATCGGCACTGGTATTGGTACTGGTATCTGAACTGGTATCTGCACTGGTATCGGCACGGGTATCGGCACTGGTATCGGCACTGGTATCTGCACGGGTATCGGCACGGGTATCGGCACTGGTATCTGCACTGGTATCTGCACTGGTATCTGAACTGGTATCGGCACTGGTATCTGCACGGGTATCGGCACTGGTATCTGAACTGGTATCGGCACTGGTATCGGCACTGGTATCTGAACATTTCCAATTAGGTTATGTATTTTTCTGTACTTGCAGGGTCTTCAGAGGGATAATCCATGGAGAAATGTGCATGCATTGCATGTTTTAAATTCTGAATTTTTCTCGCTCTGATTTACTTTCTTCCTTTCTAGCGTCTTTTTGAGCCACATTGTAGCACAGGTATCACTCACCGGTCCTCTATCTGTTTCCCGGCTGCTTGCACGACAATTTTCTTCTCCTCCACTTGTGTGATTACATTTTCCAGCAGAACCCGCTGATTCTGCAGAGCCTCCTCCAGCCTCCGGAACCTGAGAGGACAACACAGAAATCTCAGTGCGGAGCTCAGGCTGGTCTAATAGAAGCCGTGCACAGAACAGTGAGGTTGTTTTAGGGGCCACCACCTATAGCAGCCAATCAGACTGCAGCATTCATCCGTACAGTGCAGTCAATAGGTTCAAATCATAAAGCTTTAACATAAGGGTAAGAATCTTTACTTTAGTCATGCAACTTAAAATCTCATTAGACTCATTGAAAATAACTGACATAATAAATACGGATCCTGTCTAGGCATGCTAGCTTTGTAAATTGAACCTTTCCGAAAATAAGACCTAGTGTCTTTTTTCGTAGAAAAAAAAATATAAGACACTGTCTTATTTTTGGGGAAACACGGTATGTAACTATGTAACCTATAGGATGATGAATGCTGATTAATGTGAATGCTCTGGATGGAAGCAGCACATACATGGCTCCATACGCCGCTGCCTGGAGTGGAGAGTCCAGTAATAAATATCAGAGCATTCAGCTGCTTTATTTTTTTGATGCTGATCGGTTGCTTGCATGACGCGCCTGTATTTAGCGATTAATCTTGCTTGTCAATTATTTTCTTTTTGTATTTTCTATTATTAGATATATTATTTTATTATTAGATATATCAGAGGCCAATGCATTTCAAGGGATGTAGCCACCCCCTTCTGCAGGGCTTAGGTTTGAAATGTGACCCACTGTGCATTTAATAAGGACTGAAGGTGTCAGACTGTCGGTGGACAATCGGTGGAGCGATAACAGTAAGGCAACCGGAGGACACATCAAACAAAGGTTTTCATTTTTGACATCTTATCCTCTGGTACTCCTCATAACAATGTACAATCTCAAAGAGGAACTCTTAATTTGTAAGGTTTCCTTCTACGTTAGCAGCCCGAACCTATATGAATGACAACAGAATTCCGCAAACCATCCGAGTCCTACCCGCCCCCCGACACACACACAAAGGAACAGCACAGCTAATCAGAAAGGCACTTAAGCCACTTTATTTGGATGTTCAATACACATGGTGTAGGGACCCAACCTTAAAGGAGAACTATGAGATGAGTGCTTTTCACTCCCCTCATAGTTCTAGCCGACCTGTGACAATGAGACTGTCACAGGCCGGCTCAGTAGATCGGGAGGTGAGAGAACACATACCGGCGTTCGCTCACCTCTCGATCCTGTCACGGCTCTCTGCCGTGACAGGGGAGGGGCTGGATTCCCCCCTCCCCGCTCCGATCCGCCAGCGCTGACTGGTGGAACGGACGGGGGAGGGGGCGGGTACAGCTGGCTCTGCCTTTAGATAGGCAGAGCCAGTTGTCAGTCACGCAACTGGGCGGATCCCAGCACAATTGCCGGGATCCGCTTCAGCTGCGGCGTCTCAGTATACCGCGAGAAGCTGCTCACGGTATACTGCGGCGTCTCAGTATATCCCGCGAGCTACAGCTCGCGGTATACTGAGCCCAGTGTGACGGGAGGACGCTAGTTGGTGTCCTCCCGTTACCCTAAGGAGAACTATGGGGAAAAGCCTTAACCCCATAGTTCTCCTTTAAGCTGGATTGTCCCTTGTTAAGTTTGTGGTTTGCATCTAAACTGTAGCCAGACTGAGCTTTGTTTATGTTATCCGGGATTGTTGGGTTTCCCCTAAGCTCAGGTCATTGACTGTCTCTGCCTATTGCCTATTGGGGTGTTCTCAACTTCTCCAATAGTTAGATGGAGTAGATACAATGTATAGAGTTATGAATATTTATTCTGCTTTGGCCAGTCACTGAGGCCTTTATTCCAATGGTGTAGGCTGAGGAAGAAGAAACATTTTGGGGGCCACCTTCTAGGAGGGTCACTGCCCCCAAGGCTTTTGCCTGGAGGAGGGAGCCAGAACCGAGAATGGCGTTTGTTCTTCCATCTGGGCCTTGAGCCTCCTGACCTGGTCTATGGCAGAGGTCTAAAGATTCCTTAACCGGCCTGTGGCAGAGGTCTAAAGATTCCTTAACCCGCCTGTGGCAGAGGTCTAAAGATTCCTTAACCCGCCTGTGGCAGAGGTCTAAAGATTCCTGAACCAGCCTGTGGCAGAGACCATAGAACCTGAGAAGCAGCCGACCAGACAGGTCTACAGATTTTGCACTGGATTGTGACAGAGGTCTAGGAAGTCCTCCGCTGATCTGTGGTAGAGTTCCAATTAATTCTGGAACATAGTATCCCAATCATCCTATCTACCCTAAAGAGTTCTCGGAGAGGTCTTTTATGCGGAGGAATGTCTGCTGGTGGTTTGGGTATCTAATGCTCTCTCCCTAAGACTACTGAGTCAATAAATTGCAATTGTCTGTAGCTGTTGTTGGGTCGTTGAGTGTCTGGGTGCAGCTACAGGGCACGTCACCAACAGGAATTTGGAATGTATACTCAAGTGGCATTGAGATCTCCTAAATTAATGTCCAATATTATAAAGGAGTGGTCATCCTTAGGAGCAGGATCCCCCTTGAAGTCCTTTGGGTGAACTGATCTGATCCAGAGAAGGAAAAATACTTTTCACCCTTCTGAATCCAGGAATTCCTGAAGTGTCTTGACGTACATAAGGGGGGTGTATGAACCTGAAATGCGTTGGATTTTCTATGTTGTTTGTTTTTCTTAAATAAAGAAGTATACTGGACTCTATCACCACTTGTGTGGGGTCCTTACTGCCATCGACCATTAGGCTAGATTAGTTAAAATCCCTGCAGCTCCTTAGGGGGTCATTGCCACAATGGGACTGAACCGTACACATTGACCAATAGCGGACAATCAGCGTTCACTATGGGCTCTCATATGAGAGATGCTGCTCTTGTTTATTTCAGACCCAATGACTACGCAAAGTCTTCCATCTGATCCCTATATGATGAGCGATGTGCGTAGCGCGTGCCGCTCACACTTGGCGGCACTCCGGCTCTCCCACCTGTGATCCTTGTGCTCCAGGACGAGGCAATGGCGGCAGATCAGACTGTCACATGACTCGCAGAATAACTTCAGCGTCTCCTGAGTGTGAAGGGGGCAATACAAGACGTTACCGGAGCTGCCGTCGGTCCCTGCGGAGCACAAACAGAAAGCTTCAAACATTTTTAAAAAAGGAAACATTGTATAAACATATTTTGTAATCCAAAGATGAAGATGATTCCATTTCTTTCTTTCTTTATTTTTAATCTTTGTAATTCTTGAAATACATTGCAGGAAAAAAGAAGCGGGACTCGCGCCCTGCATGGGGGCCAATCAGGTCCTACATCTTATTATGGGAAGAGAAAACACAAAATACGATTGGCTGCTCTCAGTTAAAGGAACTTTCCATCCTCCATCCTTAGTGTCAATCATGTCTGCGGTGTAATTCTGAGCGTATATACCGCAATTTTCTAGATATTTCCATCATTTTCAAAGACCAAATGAAACAAAAGCTGGTCAACGCGGCCTACCAATACCCTGGATGTATAAATATTACCCTCATGGCTACTCTAAAGGTCATGAATCTTAGGCACAGCTCATCCCGCATTCCACCAGCAGCGAGTACCTGTCCTCTGCGACAGATAATGCTCTCCGCTCCCCTTGCTGTGTCGGTGCTGTTCAGCGCATGTGCTGCACAACCACTTGTTGCAGCGCGTACACAGGCTGTGGGCGGGGTTCTTCTCTGCGCATTCATAGCAGCTCTGAAAGACACAACAAGATTGTATCACATGTATGGTGTTATTTAAAGGAGGACTTTTCTCTAATTGTAGAAGGGATGCAGGGAGGGAAGGAGATGAAGTAGGGTAGGAGTGCACAAAAAATAAGACCTACCCCGAAAATAAGACCTACCCCGAAAATAAGACCTACCCCGAAAATAAGACCTAGTTTGGTGGTAGCATGTGAGGGGGAAGAGCAGGAGAGATGGTATCGGCCTGCAGGGACATACTGTATTAAGGGGATGACAGGGGACTCCCTCCGGCCAGCACAGTGACAGGGAGCACTCCAGTACCGGACTTCACCAACTGCTGTCCCCCTGAAGGTACTGCTTAATGTAATGGTACTGTACTGTATTGTGTACCGATAAATGGTACCGTACTTTACCGCGCTGTCCACTGTCTGATGTCCCCACTGCTGCACCGCTGGTACCGCTGTCCCTGATGGCAAAGGAAGCCGGCGCTGTAGAAAGCATGCTGCGGCGGCGGAGGGAGCAGAGACGCATTAGCAGATACTTCCTCTATAGCGCCGGTTACTGTGACAGGCGGAGTGACACCGGATAACTTTGGATTGTTGTAAATTTTGTTGCACATTAAAAAAAAAATAAGACATCCCCTGAAAATAAGACCTAGTGTGGTTTTTGGGGGCAAAAAAAATATAAGACAGTGTCTTATTTTCGGGGAAACACGGTATCTACTTCCAGCTATCCAAAGATTTATGCAAAAAGAAGGTTTAATTCCCCTTTAAGATTGCTCTGAGAAAGTTGTTCTCCTTCAGTCGTCTCTTTATCTACATATCAGACTCATCATCTGCTGCCAGTCACCGGTTTATGAATGTATTATAAATGAGAAGTATTGAAGAATATTCAGTGTATTCAGCTGGTACACACCGGGTGTAGTGCGTTGTCCTCTGAGGCCGTGTTGTGCGTAACCAACCTAGATACAGCCAGTCAGCAGCAAAGTGTCCCTGGAAATGATTTAGCTACTTGGCAACTATGCGAGTCCCCCAGAGAGAGTTTATAGAGGTCACATGTGTACCAACAACCTACAGGGAGCGATCCCCTAATGAAGATAATAGCAGCGTACTAAGGACGGGCGGGTGACAATCTACAAGAGGGCAAATAATCTGCTCTATAAACATACAACACAGATATATAATAACAACGTATATACGATGTATCACCTCATGTGTGTGAGCACTGGCGAGTACGTCAAGGTTATATAAATGTATAATAATAATAGTGGGTGACTGTGGGGAGGGGACATTAGAGTGTAAGCTCCTCTGTCCAGAGACTGATGTGACTGTGGGGGAGGGGACATTAGAGTGTAAGCTCCTCTGTCCAGAGACTGATGTGACTGTGGGGGAGGGGACATTAGAGTGTAAGCTCCTCTGTACAGAGACTGATGTGACTGGCTTAGTGTCCTCTGTACACAGCTATGGTATATGTTAGAGCTATATCTATATACAATGATAGTCTGTGACTGCGGGGAGCTCCGGCAATGTTTGCTGGGACCTTGCTATACCCAGTCGTGTAATTTGTCTCCTCTCTCTGTTGGATGTCAGGCGCTGATCTCTACAATGTATCTTTTATTTGGTTATTATTATTTTATTTTATACATTTTATTATTAAATAATTTTTGCACTTTTGCTAAATTCTGCGTCACAGAAAACATGAGATTCTCAGACTTCTTCTCACGTCTCACAAATTGGAAGATTGAAAATCTTGTCAGATGTGAGCGCAGAGGAGACGAGGAGCGAGAGATTTTAATTAACCTCACAACGTGAATTTGAGGCTAAAAATAGTCACTTTCCATGACTGGCAGCAAAACAAGATAATTACCGACGCAAAGCTGAGAGAAAACACAAAGAAAACAGGTGCGTGTCACTTCCTGACACGGGGAGCGCCGCGATCACGCAGACCACACATACGATGATCGCTGGAATGACCGATCGTACGCTCGCCTGATATTACGGCAATTTAGCGGAATGCGGCGTCGGAAGGTGAATGCCAAAACCAAGTGTACAAAGTGGGCAGACTGGTGAACAAAAATGTAAAACATAAGAAAATGCCGTAAATTAGAGGAAATTCCATCGATCAGCTTCCTGTCATTGCAAATAATGAAACCGGGAGGAATACATTCATTTTGGGTGACAAAAAAAGTTTATAAACTGACAAACTCCATGTATTTCAGCCTTGGCGGAGCTGGAAAATTACCCGGAACAGCTGGAAAAATGAACTAAAATTCCAGCGTCAATTTTTATTGATAGACCAGATGATAAATGTTATTAAAGTCATGTGATCTCTCAGGGCCAATGAACTGGACGTGAGCAGTGTGCTGATGTCATGTGATCTATCAGGGCCAATGTGCTGGATGTGAGCAGTGTGTTGATGTCATGTGATCTCTCAGGGCCAATGAACTGGACGTGAGCAGTGTGCTGATGTCATGTGATCTCTCAGGACCAATGTACTGGAAGTGAACAGTGTGTTGATGTCATGTGACCACTCAGAGCCAATGTACTGGACGTGTGCAGTGTGTTGATGTCATGTGATCTCTCAGGACCAATGTACTGGACGTGAGCAGTGTGCTGATGTCATGTGATCTCTCAGGACCAATGTACTGGAAGTGAACAGTGTGTTGATGTCATGTGACCACTCAGAGCCAATGTACTGGACGTGTGCAGTGTGTTGATGTCATGTGATCTCTCAGGGCCAATGTACTGGACGTGAGCAGTGTGCTGATGTCATGTGACCACTCAGAGCCTATGTACTGGAAGTAGGCAATTATATTATATCATGTGATCCCTCACAGCCAATGCAGTGAAAGCTGGAAGTATGATGAGGTCATGTGATCCCCTCAGGACCAATGTACTAAAGGTGAACAGTGTGTTGATGTCATGTGACCACTCAGAACCTATGTAATGGAAGTGAGCACATTACATTACAATGTCTTGGTAAATCTAAAATGATTGTGCAATCCTATTGTAACACGTATCATAACATGTATAGCCAGCTTTACAGGCCGAGGGCCACATGCTGATTCACCATACATTCACCGACCAATCATTCACCAAAACAAAGCTAAACTCCGGGCAAGCAGCTACACAGTTACAAAACATGTATGTGAACTCTGTTGTCCTCCAAATGATTTGTGATTCAGATCAGCCAGTCAGATGACCTAGGCACCCCTGCCAGACAGCGCAGCCAGACCATAGACAGCAGGGCAGCTTGGTCAAGAACACAACACAGCCCCAGCCGGCTGATTGGACTAAGGGAAAAGAGAAGTGAATATTCTCACCTTTAGATTTACCAAAACTATTCACCATGGAGACAAACCTAAACCATCCAATCGGGCCGGCCCTCATATACATAGCTGACAGTAGAGCCAGAGCAGATTGTACAATCGTATTCTATAGTGTGTGCTCCGCTACTCCAGTCTAATGGATCTCATCAGCGCAGGACTGCTCAGCAAGCATTGCCCGCGGTGTCCTTAGGGGTGGGCGGGGCTTGCTGGGACAGATTACATAGTACATTCCCAGAGATCGGTCAGTGCGGAAATCTCGTGACTCACCTTCGTCATCTTATAATGTCCGGTGAAGTCCTTTTATAGAGAGATGTCTCACCTGCTGGAGGTCTCGGGAAGGAGCAGAAGACCTGCGAAATGACACAAACATAAGAGACAGGATACAGAGCGCAGAACTACAAGTCTCAGCATGTCCCCCGAACCATACTAGTAGTACTGAAGAAGGACGGAACCCAATGATTCCGGATACAAATGATGACAATGTTACTGTTCACATAATAACATTGTATAAGTATAGAAATTGGTGATCTCACATTGTCCCAACATAAATCAGCCATTGGCCGTGGATGGAGCGGGGAAGAGTTTACAACCCCACCAGGAAAAATTTCACTTCCTGTCCTTAAGGTTGTCACCGGGGCAAGAAGGGCAATGGCAGCACTGAAAACAGTTTACAGCAGAACTCCAACCAAGAACAACAGCAGAAAATGAAGAGCCCAATACAAGATCATAACAACGAAACCTGATTTGGCTGCAACAATCACCTCCAATCTAGGGCTGCAACCAACTAATCGATTCATTGATAATAATCGATTATGAGAAGAGTTGTCAACTATTCTCATTATGGATTAGTTGGTTGGGGAGGGCAGAGCAAGCAGTGGGGGCGTGCAATCGCCAGCCTGCTATTGGCTATTTCAATTTGAAATGGCCAATAGCAGGCTGGCTATTCCCCCCGCCCACTACCTGCTGTATTTACATTCAGCTGCCACCTGCGGAGTCTCGCCCCTGGCGGCCGTCATTCCCGGGCTGAAGCGATTCCAGCGCCGTGTGCTCACATTACAATTATTTTTACAAAATTGTCAAAGGTGGGAAAAAAGTCATTTTTGGTTTCACAAATTGTGCTGGGGGAGGTGCATTGCAGTGCCATTCATCTCAATGGCACCCCAAACGCGCCTCCCACCCATTGTGATCGGCTCGCCATAGAACGAACGGAACCGCAATGCCGTGCGTTCCAGTGCAGTTCGATTGCAGAAAAATGTCCATGCATCTTTATTCTGAAGTAGACGTAATGTTTGTAACGCGGCATTCGTGTATTTTATTTTAAATTATGGAAGGCATGGAATTTTTTTTTATCCAATTAATTGATTCATCGAAAAAATCATCGGGCAACTAATCGATTATGAAAATGATCATTAGTTGCGGCTTCAATCCAGAAATGTCGCCGTAGTATTTTTTATTGCCACTAGATGTCCTCAGCCTGCTGGGCAGCAACTACAGGTTCCCAGCAGAGATCAGGCAGTGGCAGTGTCTAGAAATCAGGCTGGCAGTGGGAGTGTCTATAGATCAGGCTGGTAGTGGGAGTGTCTATAGATCAGGCTGGCAGTGGGAGTGTCTATAGATCAGGCTGGTAGTGGGAGTGTCTATAGATCAGGCTGGCAGTGGGAGTGTCTATAGATCAGGCTGGCAGTGGGAGTGTCTAGGTATCAGGCTGGCAGTGGGACTGTCTAGAGATCAGGCTGGCAGTGGGAGTGTCTAGAGATCAGGCTGGCAGTGGGAGTGTCTAGAGATCAGGCTGGCAGTGGGAGTGTCTAGAGATCACGCTGGCAGTGGGAGTGTCTAGAGATCAGGCTGGCAGTGGGAGTGTCTTTACTATGAGCTCAGCAGGAACTTTGTCTCTCTCTCTCTTTTCTTCCAGTTTAATATGTTTCGGGTATGAAGCTTTACATTGGGAAAGGCTTCTTCTCAGTTAGAGCTGTAAGCATGTGGGATAGACTCCCCCGGAGATGGTTCAGCATCTCAGTTCCCTCTGTGACGTATTCGGAATATTCCTGGATACTGACTTCTTATAAGTATAAACTCCGGAGATTGCTGATCCCGGAATATCCGATTGTCTTACGGGATCAGAAGGGATTTGTTCCCCTTGTTGGAGTGCATTGAACCGTGATGTATATGGGCGGCTTTATCGGGGGTTTATTGTGCCTTCCTCTGGATCATCAGGGGGGGAGGGGTGACTGTGCGCACTGCGTTCTGGTTTAGGTTTCTCTTCTCTCTATAGGATGAACTCGATGGACTTGTGTCTGTGTATATGATTGGTCAGGTCTGCAAACATAATAATGGCGGCCGCTCTGTTATGATCGTCCAGCCCAGGGGGGGGCCTCAGTTGCAGACAGTCGCAGGCGGTGATGTTGATGTGGAGCTCTGACTGCGCACAATCACAAAACCGGCTGGACAGAATTTCAGATCTTTTGGCAGGTAGAGCAGATTGTATAGATTTACTTTGTGTGCAGATCAGAGTTCCTCCTTAAAGCCCGGGGACCGGGGAATACTCTCATCATTGGTGCTCCCAGATCTCAGGACCCTCCGGATGAGGCAATCTGACGACACACAGCGATGGGATCCCTCTAGAGTCTGTGTGAGAATGGATTCCCCTCCCCCCTCTACCGTGACACCTCGGAGTAATCCCAGTCTATCCAGCTGCTGTGGAACTACAACTCCCAGCATTACCCTGGAATAAAACTGGCCTGGATGGCTCAGTTACTGCTTTGCGATTGGCCAAGAATGGGGTCCCTTCACCCAGCTACGTTGGGCTTTACCATATGCACAGTAATGTGCCTGTAGGTTGTAGAGAGGTGACAACGCCATAGGAGGATGGAAGGTGAGAGTTGTCACCACTAGACAGCAAGTGTGTTAATGGCAGAATCAAGCTCCTCATAATGGGCACAGCGGGTGTACAGACCCGGGGACTCAGCACAGGGATGGTGGGGGCCCCTCATAAAGGGCACAGCGGGGGTACAGACCCGGGGACTCAGCACAGGGATGGTGGGGGCCCCTCATAAAGGGCACAGCGGGGGTACAGACCCGGGGACTCAGCACAGGGATGGTGGGGGCCCCTCATAAAGGGCACAGCGGGGGTACAGACCCGGGGACTCAGCACAGGGATGGTGGGGGCCCCTCATAAAGGGCACAGCGGGGGTACAGACCCGGGGACTCAGCACAGGGATGGTGGGGGCCCCTCATAAAGGGCACAGCGGGGGTACAGACCCGGGGACTCAGCACAGGGATGGTGGGGGCCCCTCATAAAGGGCACAGCGGGGGTACAGACCCGGGGACTCAGCACAGGGATGGTGGGGGCCCCTCATAAAGGGCACAGCGGGGGTACAGACCCGGGGACTCAGCACAGGGATGGTGGGGGCCCCTCATAAAGGGCACAGCGGGGGTACAGACCCGGGGACTCAGCACAGGGATGGTGGGGGCCCCTCATAAAGGGCACAGCGGGGGTACAGACCCGGGGACTCAGCACAGGGATGGTGGGGGCCCCTCATAAAGGGCACAGCGGGGGTACAGACCCGGGGACTCAGCACAGGGATGGTGGGGGCCCCTCATAAAGGGCACAGCGGGGGTACAGACCCGGGGACTCAGCACAGGGATGGTGGGGGCCCCTCATAAAGGGCACAGCGGGGGTACAGACCCGGGGACTCAGCACAGGGATGGTGGGGGCCCCTCATAAAGGGCACAGCGGGGGTACAGACCCGGGGACTCAGCACAGGGATGGGGGGAGCCCCTCATAATGGGCACAGCGGGGGGACAGACCCGGGAACTCAGCACAGGGATGGTGGGAGCTCCTCATAATGGACACAGCGGGTGTACAGACCCGGGAACATGGAGAACTATCACTACAACACCCATCCTGCAGAACATCGCACAGACCTCCATCACCTCCACTTATAACCATGTATCCTTACTTTATAGCACCAACATATTTTAAAGCGTTGTACAATTATAAGACAGGCAATAAACATAGAAGATTCACCACAATGTAGCAAACAAGGAAGCTAGAGGTCGGCTGACTCTGACCCGAGGAGCTTGCAATCATATGGAATGTAGAAGGGAAGTGACACAAGCAATAGATAATACAGAAGGTCAGCTACGTGTAAACGTTGATAAGTTTCAGTGCGACCCCCTGGGCTGCAGCACATCGCACAAACTGAAGACGGTAGTAGAGTCGGTGGAACCCCTGGGCTGCAGCACATCATGTAAAAGATGAGACACTAAAACCCCTCATCTGCAGCACATCGCAGACACAGCCACCTCTGCAGCTCATCTCACAGCTGCCACTTTGACCCTTGGGCTTCAGAAGATCACACAGACTGAGGTAAGCTGGTAGTCGGGGCAACCCCTAGCCTGCAGCACATCACGTAAAGAAGAAGAGACAGGTAAACCCATCAGCTGCAGCACATTGCACACAAAGCCATCTCTGGAACTAATCTCACCTCCTGCTCATCGCAGTTGCCACTTTGACCCCGGGGCTGCAGCACATCTCACCATCCTACACTCAAGGCTGTCTCTGGAGCTCATACTGAGGGTAGCTTTTATACTTCGACCCCCCCGGGCTGCAGCATATCGCACAAACCTGCATTTATCGCAGCTCATTTCACCTCCTTATACTACATCTGCAGCACATTCCACTACCCACACACCTTCTGTCCCTGCAGCACATTTCGACTCCTACCCCCATACAGCCCCCCTTTAAATACCATCTCCGCAGCACATTGCGCAACTCTCAGCCCGTCTTAGGAAGTTATTCTACGACACAAAAAGGGAAAAGAACTCAAAATCTCTGATTTCTGGTGCAATGTAGAACTCCTACCAGCGGTGCGGTCCATACACACGGAAACACGTCGCCGGTTCCCTGCTTCCAGCCCGGTGCGGAGGAGACGAATAATCCGCAGATCTGTGACAGGCAGCGCAGGAGATGTCAGGGGAGTCCCAAGTGACGAGCTGTTTATATCAAGAACTGCATGATGCAAGCTGTGAATCCAAATAGGGCTCCCGGGGGAATCCTCCCAGCCTGGGGACCCGGAGGAGCAATAAAACAAAGGATAAGCACGACAGAGGGGTGTTCGGGGGGGGCCCCAACACATCCACCCCGAACACCCCCCCCCCCCCCCATAAATATCACCACCACCACCGCAGGTGACCCTGAAAAAAGTTTCAATTTCCGACCGCTGACCTCTCAAGGCCGAGAACCCGCCGAACCAATCCCCCGACAACTCCCACGG